TTAACTTTGCGCTTTGAGGAAGCGTAAGTTAGGTCACCAACCTCTCGTTCTATACTCTGAACAAGTGCGAGTTTAGCGGATCGCAATCCGCTTACTCCAAGAGTAATTATAGCCGTAATTCAAGGCTGATTAACTCTTTGGTTCAAATTCAAAACTGACTTAATTTATTTCTATCTGCGGCAAAGCCGCCTAATTTTAAATGCATAGATTTTCCTAAACATATATAGTAAAATCTAAATACGTGTATAATTACTCGCTATCCAGCCCTTGTGTGGGTGTGGTCACACAATGCCTATCTGGTGTGATACACACCCCTGTTACCAGGATATATGTAATCCCGTTACAATATCGCATTGAAGGGGTATATTAAGGATAACCGGGATGCAGGCGATCCTGCGATGATTACGGCACAGTGATTACACAACTTGTGATTTGGCGAGTAGAATTATTGATAGGGTGAGTCCAGTGTAGAAATTTACATGATCGAAAACATACATGCTAGATATGTAAGCTTTGATACACTAGACACCTCTGATTTTTGTCTCCTCCGCCGCGTCATAGCTTCATCATTCTTTCCGCGGTCGACTTTTTTCTCGCTCCGTTCAAATCCCACATTGCGCTGGTCCCATGCTTTTTGTATCTTGTGATAATCGATAACTAGCAGCTTGGGGCCAGCGAATCGTCCAGCACTATGGGATCTAATTATCGCATGCTTTTTCAAGAAACCAAGATTATTACCGCACTCGATATTGGTTGACCCCATGTGCTGAAAACTATGATAACTACGGAGGTAAGAAAATAACACGAATAACATTTAAGAAAAATATAAATCATCATTGCTGATGTTAATACACGTACTAATTTAATCATACATCAATATTTGGAAATAAAAACAATATGAAAGATAAACGCTTGCTCTACCCTTTTCCTCCAAGTACTACTTTTATAGTCACGTCAGCAAGCCGCATTTATTCAAGATCTATCTCGGTTTAAGCGTCTGACTTTAATGCTATTAGGTTTACAGATAGCTTGTCGACGCGGTCGAAAGATTAGAAACGCTCTTTACATGGCAAGTTTAGCATATTTTTATGTGCCTACATGAAATATATTATGTGCTAAATAAACGCCTGCACTTCGTAATTAAACGATGTGTTTTACACCTCCACACTACATCAAATTTTTATTTGAATGTTGTTTGAGAATTTTTATAGATACCGTACTATTCTCAATCTAGGTTCTTACAATATTGTGCTGCTCATCAGCACGCAATTTTGAATTTATGTTGCTTACAATAAAATATTATTGCTGCTCGAAGTAAGTATCGAAAACGTGTCCTCGAGATTATTGTCATAATTTGATGAGGACTAATATTAGGAGCAGACATCCTTAACATTCCTCTCTTTCAATTACCCAATTTAAGACTTAAACAAATAGCGCAATGATGTCGGTCAAGTCGATCTCTGTGTGTGCCATCAAACACCACGCGCTCGGAGCTACACGCAGCGTGGCTGGAGGTCGCGCCGCTTTCAATTGGCGTGATCCACTCATGCTAGCGGAACAGCTGACGGATGAGGAGACCATGATCCAGGTAGCTTTCACTTCTAGTTGTTAAATGTACTCTTTCGGCTCAATGAGACGGCTGCACAATTGTAGAAATCGGCCAACGACTACTGCCAAGGAAAATTGCTACCGCGGATTGTAGAAGCTAATCGCAAGGGCAAATTTGATCGGTCAATTATGAAAGAAATGGGCGACATGGGCTTCTTAGGCCCTACCATTCAGGGTTACGGTTGTGCCGGCGTTGGTTACGTTTCCTATGGGCTCATTGCGAATGCGGTAGAACGTGTACGTACGCGTAAACGGGAATTTTCCTCTGTGATGATTACAAATGCGAATGTCGGCAGGTGGATAGTGCGTATCGTTCTGCAATGAGTGTACAATCATCTCTAGTCATGCATCCTATCAATGCATTTGGATCGGATGAGCAAAAGGAAAAGGTAAGAGAATTTTAGAGCTTTTGACCAATGAGAAATTTAATGTTGCTATATCCGTGCAGTACATCCCGCGACTAGCTACTGGTGAGCTCATTGGCTGCTTTGGTTTAACAGAACCGAATCATGGATCGGATCCTGGATCGTGCGTAATTGATGGTTATTGTACTGTATCCATGCTTTGAATCCATTTCTCATTCCGCATCATATGTTATCGCTTTTCAAGGATGGAGACACGTGCCAGATTGAAGGGTGACAAGTACATTCTTAACGGTTCTAAAAATTGGATCACCAATGCTCCGATTGCTGACGTCTTCCTCGTATGGGCCAAAGATGACGAAGGCGACATTCGCGGATTCATTCTTGAAAAAGTGCTGAGCATATACTGCGTTTGTATCTTAACAGTAATATTGATGGTTGTTGATAAAATTAGGGTCTTCCAGGTCTGTCAGCCCCTTACATTGAAGGCAAAGCGACATTGATGGCTTCTGCCACCGGAATGATTTTTCTGGAAGACGTTGAAGTTTCAAAGGAGAGCATGCTACCAAAGGTGATCGGTCTCAAGGTACGGCATCGTCGATCGTGTTTATTATCCTCAATATTAATCTAAACTTCTTCAGGGCCCTTTTTCGTGTTTGAATAGTGCTCGTTATGGTATTTCCTGGGGTGCTCTCGGCGCAGCATGTACGGTCTTTTTATCAAATGCTGATTGTGTCCATCTTTTAAGCCTTTGTAACAGACGCATGCATGGATGTTGCCCGTCAGTACACACTCGATCGCAAACAATTTGGCGCTCCAATTGCAGCGTACGTGTAGTAAAACACTGTAAGCATTTTGTCAGACGTCTAACAATAACTGCCTCGTCTGTATAGAAATCAGCTTGTACAGAAAAAGCTTGCAGACATGAGCACGGAAATAGCGATCGGACTTCAGGGATGTTTACAAGTTGGTCGGCTTCTTGATGAAGGCAAAGCGCCAGTAGAGCTAGTGTCAATGGTCAAGCGCAACTCTTGCGGCAAGGCAATTGAGATTGCTCGCAATGCACGTGATATGCTTGGCGGTAATGGTGTCTCGGACGAATACCACATTATTCGCCATGTTGTCAACCTTGAAGCCGTAAACACGTACGAAGGCACGCACGATGTGCATGCCCTCATCCTTGGTCGTGCCATTACGGGTCTACCCGCTTTTGTGCCTCGTATGGCTGCGTAATGTATTCGTACCGACGGAGTTTGAACACTTCCAGCAGTGATTGTACTTAGACATCTAAGTACATGATAAATCGAATATCCTGAGACCAATATGGTAATCTATTAGAAGATCTTGAGATCGGTGTTTCCTAGTATTCATCACACGCCTCGTTATACCTCTACAGCTATAGAAAAGATCAGAGCGACGAAGACATCACTTAAAATTCTGCCAACTACTTAGTTAAAGCCATACTCTTGACGTGCTCGTTTGACGACACCAATAAGAAATCCGCTCTTGTTGCGTACAGTTGAGAGGTTGGCACCAGCAAAGCGCGCGAGAACTTGGTTCGCTAAGGGCTCGGATAGCTGTCCAAGAACCTCGTAACATTTACCTCCAAGCTCTTCTAGGGACGCCAGCGTGTGGTTTGCTACCAGAGAATGGATATGATTTTGCACCGACATTGGAAGCGCATGGAACGACGGCATGCCGATCGGTACTGCTCCATATTCGGGAGCATCTTGCGGGACAGATTGTCGACGACGCGGATCTCGAGAATCCTGTGGGGTCTCATAAGGCCGTTCAAAAAGTGCTGGACCAGGTCCAGCAGCAATTGGGGCGGCTTGAGCTCGGTAGCTACCAGGGTTTACTCCATTAATGGCGTCTAACCGTCCACCATGAGGTGGTCCACCAAGGACAGAAGCACCTTGTGAAGGGGGTCCATAATTGTTACTTCGCGGCATTGAAAGCTGTCCTCTTGGAGAAGGGTCCTGTGGCCGGTGTTGCTTTTCAGACGCAATCGCCTTTTCGTTGACGCGATTAATGATCCCAACCAGGAAACCTTGCAGGTTTTCTACTTGGGATAGATCAACATTGCTAAAGTTCTCCACTGCTTGCAGCGCCACATGCTCTGGTAGATGCAATAGTCGCGTGATGACGTTGTCATTCAAGGATTCTTGTAATCGTCCTTCGCGGCGCATACTGTCGACGACTGCTCGAACAGGACCCGGCAGACGCCCGTATAAGTCATTCGATCCCGTATTCCGAGAGGAATCGGACTGATTGCCGCGATGTGGTGGTTCCTGACTCGTCAATGTACTACGGCGGCGGGGATCACGTCCAATTCCACTGTTATTTTGGTGCAAAGGCTGTTCGCGTCGACGCGGGTCTTCATTTTTGGCGCTTGAGATTGCTTGTGGAGTCGCTTGCGTTGATCGTGGCGATAAATTCTGTCTGCTTCGTGAGGCTTGACGAGGTTCTAATGCTGATCGTTGACTAGGAGTGCGGGAGGACAAATTGGACTCTGACGCCCCTGATTTGTCGGAGTGAACAGCTCGACCAAATTCGTCAATATCTTTCCGATGATTTCGCTCAGGCTCAGACTTTAAAGTGGCATTGTGCGCTTGACGAAGAGGACCTTTAAATGGAGCCGGTTCTTTGGGTGGATCTCGCTGATACGGTACCGGAACATTGGAGACACCCGTAACAGGCTGAGGAGGAGCGTAGCCGAAGCGAAAGAAACCAGGATCATTTTGATAGTCCGAGACAAAAGCATCTACGGGTTGCAGCGCTGCAATTTGAGGATTTTCCTTCTGATACTCGCGATAAATGCGCATGAGCTGTCCATTCTTGTCGCGCACTTCTTTCATTGGAGTGCGTACAAATCGTGCTATGATAGCAATCTGAGCGAACTCAGGCATTGCACCAACAGATGCAAAAGCTGCACGACTCACTTGCGTCACTTGGAACTCCCCACTGGTCTGAAAATCCATAAGCCGATCCCACGCCGCGGCAGAAAGACCCTTGTGGTCTTCCTCATGGTGTTTGTGTCGACTGCTTATAGAGGACGATGAATCCCCACTTTCACGACGCGCGCGATCAGTTTTATGGTTGTCCTCATGTGAGTCATGCTTGCTGCCACCATCGTGGCGTGGACGCTTGAGGCTAGAGTCTCCATTGGACTGGTCGGAAGGACGGGACTCGTCTACACTCTTTCTCTTTGCTGAAGTCTTAGTTGATTGCTCTTCATTCGTGGCTCCCAATGATGTATCAGTTGTTGATTTTTCAGCCTCGGCAGACGATGTCATGGATGGGTGATCCGGATCATACTCTTGGCGCTGAGCAGCAGCAGTTAATTCAGTAGAAGAATCGACTAAAGTAGCCACAGGAGACAGCTTCGCTGGGTCATATTTGTCGTCTACGGGCTGCACAACATTCTCACTTTCTGTCGGGGGCGGTAAATTGCATTTTTTATCGTCATGTTTAGGAGAAGAAGACGCTTCGTTGTCTTTTACAATTTCACTCGTCGCATCGTTTATAGCTTCATCTGGATGTATCAATTCCGGTACGATTGGAGAAGTCAGGTCGGCATTTTTTGCTAGTTCATCCAGTACTCGATCTGGGGCAGCTTTCATTGACAAATCATCTTGCGTGCCATCTCCTTCTTTTGCTGATACATCAGTCTGTGTTGCTTCTCCAATAGCGTCCGACGTGACGTTCACTTCGTCTGGTGCCGCCTTCAAAGACAAATGGTCTCCTTCACTACCTTGTTTAATCTCTTCTGACGTGTCCATTGTCTCTGCATCCTCAACTGCATGCGGCGCGGTACTAGTTCTCTCATTATTTTCTTCATCCTTTATACCCAACGTTTTAATCTCTTGGGTCTCCGCGACGGGTTCCAGTGACGCTGGCTCCATGATTACGTCTTCATGCTCCTCATGATCATCAGCAATCATCTTTTCTGTGTCACCCTTCTCTTCTGCTTCCATCTCAGTGTTTTTCACCTCGGACGCCTCTCCTTGTGAGACATCTTGTCCTTCTTCAGGTGTTGTTATAATATCTTGTTCTGTGGATACCTCCTCAAGAACAGTTGCTTCACTCTCAACTAAATTACTTGACATTGTAGCGTCTACAGCTTGCTGTACTCCGTCTGACTCGTCATAAACCTCATCCGTTGTGTCTTTCACCGCTGGTCCGTTGGGCTCCATGTTGTCCTAAACCCTTGAATGAGGTGCACCACTCCAAACACTGTGCAATTTTCCATGAAAAGCCACACAACCTCCATGAGCTCGAAAGCCACTAAGCCTACGTCGAGTATTCCATGTTTCTATTTTCCTCACAAGCAAAAACCGCTCAAAGACAGCGATCATCTTCGAC